GGGGGGGGGGGGGGGCCCCGGGGGCCCCCTGAGGCCCCTCCCTGCGTCTCTTTGCCCCGCACTCTTCTACGACTGTACCCACGACAATGAGCCAGCAGCAAGCAAGTTCACTCCAGCAGCAACTCTGGCTTTTGCTGCTGTTGCTGCTGCTGCTGCTGCTGCCTGCGGCAGCACCCGCGGCACTGATGAACTTGTCCCCTTTACTCTTTCGGTGGTTCACGAGCGCCGCCTTTACCACGACTTCCACCCCGAAGTCCCGCTGCGAAACCCTGCTGCAGCAGCAGCAGCAGCAGCAGCAAAGCCCGCAGCAGCAGCAGCAGAAGCAGCAGCAGAGGAGGGCGTGGAGGTGGTGTGGCCCGGAGAGGCGCAGCAAGTGGCCGTGCGGGGCGAGTGGGACGGGTGGGCTGCGGACGTGCCGCTGGAGCGCTGCAGCAAGGGTTTAGGGTTTAGGGTTTTGCTGCAGCAGCAGCAGCACTTCCGAAACCCTCAAGGCAGCAAAAAGGAGACAGTGCAATTCAAGTTCATTGTCGACGGCCAGTGGAGATACAGCCCAAGCAGCCCCACAGTCTCCGACGGCCGCGGCAACATCAACAACATAGCTGCGCTTCCGGGGGCCAAGTTGCCCGGTAAACCCTAAACCCTAAACCCTAAACCCTAGGCCCTAGGCCCTAAGCCGTAGGCGCTGAACACTGAGAAGCGGGGGGCCCGAGAGCTCGCTGGCCCGGGGCCGCGGGGGTTTTGCCGGCGCTGCTGCTGCGGGCGGCGCCCCCGGGGACCTAGGGTTTAGGGTTTAGGGTTTAGGGTTTAGGGTTTAGGGTTTGGCTGCAGGGTCGTTGCCGGGGCTGCTGGGCGTGCGCCCCGTGTTGAACCGGCTGCACCTGCGTTTGGCCGAGGAAGGGTTTAGCCAATTTGCTGTTGAGCTTTTGGGAGAAGATTTAATTTTAATAAAAAGAATAAACCCTCAAACCCTAAATTGTTGTTACACGTTAGCCCGCTGCGCCTACCCCGGCTGCAACGCCGAAGCCCCCCTGCCCCCCGTGAGCCAAACCCCAAACCCTAAACCCTAAACCCTAAACCCTAAACCCTAGGTCCTCTTGGAAAGCGGCGCCCCCGAGAAGCGCGCGCTGCAGCGCGCCTCTGCCGCCAGTCTGTGTCTTGCCAGAACCCAGGCTCCAGGGTCTAGGGTTTAGGGTTTGGGGTTTAGGGTTTAGGGTTTAGGGTTTAGGGTTTGGGTTGCAGGTGGTGCTGAGCGGGAAGATAACGGAGGTGGCGTTGGTGGCGAGTTTGCATGCAGAGTGTGGGGCTGTGGGGCGGTTTGCTGCTGACAGCAACTTCATAAATGGGGTTGAGGGTTTAGCGAGGGTTTACGAGGGTTTGGAGAGTGTGGGGCAGTGTACGTACACCGCAGCGACTGGGGAAACGACGCTGCTGCTGCAGCAGCAGTTCGTGCCGGGCTCTGCTGCAGTGCTGTTTACGGCGCCGGAGGACCCGCTGCTGCTGCAGCAGCTGCAGCAGCAGCTGCGCGAAACCGTCGAAAGGGCCCCCGCGCTGCTGGCAGCAGCAGCAGCAGCAGAACTCAACTGTCTCCTTTATAAGTGCAACAGCGAAGAGACAGATGCTTCGTGTGGGGCCCGCGGGGTGTACGTACTCCCGGGCTTTGGACCACTGGTCTACAGTGGTTTGGCGGGGCTGGTGGGGGCCTTCGACGCTGCGCGGCAGCAGCAGCAGCAGCAGCAGCAGCAGCAGCAGCCCATTTGCGAGAACCTCCGCGCTGGCCTGTGGCTGCTGCAGTACACCGTGGACCGCCTCGCGGGCCAGAGCACGCTGCTGCCGCTGCAGCAGCAGCTGCAGCAAACCCTGCTGCTGCTGCAGCAGCTAAAGGGCTACAACTGGATAAGACCCTACATAGTGGACCGGCTAATAAGTGGGGTTTACGCGCAGGTGGGGGCTTTGGTGTGGTCGCGCATTCCTGCTGCTGCACCTCGCCCTCGCCTCGCTGCAGTGCTACGGCGCTGTTGCTTCCGCCCCACTCATCTGGGGATCGAACGATCCCAGCCTTGCTGCTGGGCTGCCCCACTTCGCCACGGGCTTTATGCGCAACTGGGGCCGAGACACTTTCATCGCCATCAGGGGCATACTCATTGCCACCGGGTAGGGTTTAGGGTTTAGGGTTTAGGGCTTAGGGTTTAGGGTTAGGGGTGGGGAATTGGGGGTTGGGAGTTAGGGGTGTCTTTCGTCGCCATCAGGGGCATACTCATTGCCGCCGGGTAGGGTTTAGGGTTTAGGGCTTAGGGTTTAGGGCTTAGGGTTTAGGGCTTAGGGCTTAGGGCTTAGGGTTTAGGGTTTAGGGTTTAGGGTTTAG